AGTGAAAAAAAAAAACCCTTTGAACGTTTTTATTTTATTTTTTTTTAATGTTTAGTTTTGAGAGAGAAAGAGACAGAGTAAGAATGGGGGAGGGGCAGAGAGCGAGGGAGACAGAGAATCCAAAGCAGGCTCCAGGCTCTGAGCTGTCAGCGCAGAGCCCCACATGGGGCAGAACCCGTGAACCACAAGATCATGACCTGAGCCAAGGCTGGATGCTTAACCAACTGAGCCACCCAGGTGCCCCCTGTGAATGTTTTTAAATACATCGGAGGAATAACTCAAAGTTTTCCTGGGATCATTAAGGAAATAGATGGAAAAGTCACCAGAAAAAGAAGACATTGCTTTTGAAGAAAAATGTGGGAATGCTTTGGTACTTAATTTTCTATGTAATATGAATTCTTTAATACCTACACACTTGTTCGCAGAACTGTAGTTTTCACGGAATGCTCATCAATGGAGACAGAAAGAACATATCTCCCTGAACCTAAAGTTTGACTCACCAAAGAAGGATGCCATCCGCAAGTGATTTGAAAAGACTGCCATCATGAGGATTCATGGGTAGGAGATGTTTACAGTCAGGGTCATCCTCCAGAGCTTTGTTTATCCAGTTAACAAAAGCCACTTTTTCTTCCTCTGGAAACAGAAAATCTTAGTTAGCAAACCTCACTGCACAAAATTAACCATACTACAAAAACATACTTTTTAACTTATGTTCAAAGATAATAAATGCTTATTATTAAAACTCTACTAAAATACTAAAGGGTTTAAGAGGGCATAAGGGCTTAAAGAGAGAGGGGAATTCATTCCACTTTTTCATCTGATATATTAGGGGACAGGAAGATATATAGCTTAAATGAGCACAATAAATATTCTATTTGATTCTAAAATCTTTACTAATACATATTGTTCCTGAAACCTAATGAATCAGAAGCTTACTCTCAGAGGTCAGATTACACACATACACACACACACACACACACACACACACACACACACACCAGGGTTAAAAATACAAGAAACAAATTTCCACAATAATAAACTCCACAACCCCCACCAAAATTTACAGAGTTGTGATCTGGGGCTTATAACAGAAATACTAATTTCAATCAAGAGTTATTTGAATGAATAAAACAGCTCCATTTCTGTGGAATTCCTACTATAAGAAAGCTGATGCAAGTCTAGATATGAGGATTCTCAGTCATCTGCATCCTCAACTTCTCAACATATCACTTCTTCTGTGGGTACACTGATCTTTAGACAGAAAATATTGTTGAGCTAAGCAGTGGGAAGAATAGGAAGAAAACTTAAAAGAAAAATGTTCTACTGCTTTATTATTACTCTGTAAATATAAAAATGATTTAACAACATAAATCTTCAAAGAAAATAGTTCCCTTTTTTTAAGGTTTATTTTGAGACAGAGAACAAGAATAGAGAGGGAGAGTGAGAGGGAGAGAGAGAATCCCAAGCAGGCTCCGCACTGTCAGTGCAGAGCCCAAGGTGGGACTCAATCCCACAAACCATGATCATGACCCAAGCTGAAATCAAGAGTCAGCTGCTTAACCGACTGAGCCACCCAGGTGCCCCATAATTCCCATTTCTATCACAGAGTAGCATATGGTGACTTGACCTTCCCCAATTCCTAGAATTAGGTAATTTCCCTAAGGGCATATTTGGCAGGCACTCCCAAAATGTTATCCATCACACACACACACACACACACACACACACACACACACACACACACGCAGTTACTAATATTTCTCTTTTGTACATATCATAATCTGCCTTTTAAGATTATCTTCTTGCTTCACCATACATAACTCCTCAGAGACTTAGAATCTAGGGATTTAAACATCAATTGGATATGGTACCTTCCATTTTAGTTCCATTTGTGGTAACTTTGTATCTTTATGATAAAGATATACAAAGAAATACAACATAAGGGATATAAATACACCACAAGAGATATATAAGCAATGTTTTAGAGAATTTAAAGAAAGAGAATCACTTCCAGTTGGGGTGGTCAAGAAAAGGCTTTATGGAGAAGGTACAATTTGAAAGATGGATTTTTAAGATGGGCAGGGAAAGGAAAGATGTTCCAGGTATAGGAAATGGGATTGAGAAACTGTTTCACAACTACTAGGATGGCTATAATAAACAAAATGGACAATCACAAGTGTTGGTGAGAATGTGAAGAATTGGAACTTTTCATACATTGCTAGTGGGAATGCAAAATGGTGCAGCAACTTTGTAGAACAGTTTGGTAGCTTTTAAAAATGTTAAACACAGAGTTACCAAAAGACCTAGCAATTCCACTCCTAGGTATTAAGATAAGTTAAAGCATATGTCCACACAAAAATGTGTATACAAATGTTCATACAGCATTATTCATAATAGCCGAGACAACCTGAACGTCTATCAACAGACAAAAGAACAAACTGTGACATCATCCAAAAACCAAAATATTGTACAGCAATAAAAAAATGCCGTATAATGTATGTCACAACATGGGTGATCCTTGAAAATATTATGCCAGTGAAGGAGCCTGTCAACTCTCAAGTGAAAGGCCGCTGCTGTATGATTTCATTTACATGAAATTTCCACAATAGGCAAATCAACAGAAATAGAAACTAGAGTAATGGCTGCCAGAGGCTAGGGGAAGGAGGAATTGGGAGGGACTGCTAATGAGCATGGGGTTTCTCCTTGGGGTAATGAAAGTGTTCTCAAATTAGACAGTGGTGATGACTGTTCAACTCTGTGAATGTGCTAAGAACTAATGAACTGTACACTTTCTTTTTTAAATGTTCATTTATTTATTTTGAGAGAGGGAGAGAGTGGGTGGGGGAGGGGCAGGGAGAGAGGAGAATCCCACGCAGGCTCTACACTGCCTGCACAGACGTTCAACCGACTGAGCCACCCAGGCGCCCCTGAACTATACACTTTTAAAGGGTGAATTTCATAGCATCTCAATTATATCTCAATAAAGCTGCTCTTTTTTTAAAAGCTACTAAATACTCCATACCTAGTTCTAGGTAATATTTACATGGGTAATCGTTTACACATGTACATATTCCTATGTAAAAAAAAAAATCATCAACCATCAAGCCATATACTTAAAAATAGTACACTGTATGCTCTTACTATGTGCCTCTTATACCACAATAAATGAGAAAAAAATATATATGGTGACAGATATCAGAAAGGTGATTTCCTCTGGGGAGAAACAGTTCCTGTTCGAGGCATGAAGGAACCAGTGAAAGTGATAAAATGTGTTCTCTTGATCTGGTGGCAGTTACATGGATGTTTACACATGCAAAAATTCACTGAGCTGTACTGGTAAGATTATAGCACTTTGCTAAATGCATATTATATCTCAGTAAAAAGATCTTTTAAAATCTTTTAAAATTTGACAACATTTTCATTAGAATGCGTAGGTAGAAATGGAATTAAGGACTGAATCCCTATCAAAAAATAGACATAGCATTTATAGGCCACTGACTTTAACCACACTTCTCTAGTGGGAAAAGGATAGAAAAAAATTACAATGGGTGGGAAAAGTGTGAGTATATTGCTATAGAAAAATCCAGTTAGAAAGGAAAACAATCAACAGGACAATTAACAGATTCAGATCTCAAAGGAAAAGGGGGAAAAGTTACAGTGAGTTTTTGTTAATAATTTAAAGAGCACAGTTCGAATTATACTCCTATGAACAAAAGGAACTGGGCCAAAGGTTCTCAGACATCTCGACCACGAGAAGGAAGCTTAACATGGGGTAAGACATATCATCTTAAGAGTTAATGTGACTCTGGATTTCCCACCGGGCAACAATCCAGTGATTCTATCAGATTCAGCAAATCAGGTACTGTGCTCTCTAGTCACCCAGTTGCTTGATAATCAGGAATCTCAGGTCCTGGAAAATGGAAGGGAAACGTCCTTGCAATAAACCTCTCCATAAATTCTCAGATCAGGCCTAAAAGCAAACTCAATTCACCAGTCAAGATGAAAAATCCATTCAGAGGTCATGACTGAACATAGTCAATGCCGAAATGTAAACAATTTCTATTTTGTTCTTTCTAATCTCTTTGCTGTGTGCTGTGTGCTGTGCCTGACACATAGTAGGGACCCACTGATTTCAGTGATTCTACAATTTTTCATCCTGACAGCTCTGAAACTGAGAGGCATGTCAAATTTGATGGCACATTATAGTCTGATTTTCTTTCAATGGTACATAAAACAATGGTGTGAATTACAATGAACAGCATCTTAGATTTGATGAAATACCAGACTCAGTGAATGAGTCAATGAATGAAAGATCAAACTTAGAGTTGGAAGTTACCTGAATAAGAATGCTGTGTGCCCTCACTGGAAATGGATGATGTTCCTCCAATAGCAGTAATCCCTTCCCTCTTGTTAATTATTTTGCGGAACGTCTTACTGATGTCTTTGCTTTTTAACTCTTGCATCAGCTGGAATGGAATATAAGTAAAATTGAGCTTTGGTCAAATCATCATAAAAAACCTTTCAACATGAAGAATTACAAGTTATTTAGACTTCTTTATTTATTTGGAATGACATCAAAATAAATCCTCATCTGGGATTCTGACCCTTATTGCTTGTGTGCATAGACAGCACTCATGTCATTTTACCCATAACACAAAATGTACAAACGTTTGCACTGCAAGGACTAAAAGAAACTTTGTTATTATTAAGCTTAAATTGAATGCATTGAAATTATTCTCCTACACTTGCCATGATCTTTTGTATTGAAAACTAAAGAATAACTACATGATGAAGATTTTTAAATGCTTTAGTGAAGATATTTGCTTGTCTGAACATTGCAAATGCATACATGTTAAAATAAATAAGTCAGATGTCACAGGAAATAACGTAGCTTGGACAAACACCCTCTCTCAATCACTCTTGTGACTGGCCAGACTGAATTTAATCAGTACTCTAAGCAGCAGCCGGAGTGAAGTATTTTTGGGTTTTTTGTTTTTTAATTTAAAAAAATTTTTTAAAGTTTATTCATTTGGGGTGGGGGAGGGCATGCGTGGGGGGAAGGGGGGAGAGAAGGAGAGAGAGAGAATCCCAAGCAGGCTCTGTGCCAACAGTGTGGAGCCCGACGCAGGGCTCCATCTCATGAACTGTGAAATTATGACCTGAGCAGAGATCAAGAGTCGGGTGCTTAACTAACTGGGCCATGCAGGTGACTCCAGAGTGAGTTTTTAAAATTTCGCATCTGATCATGTCACGTCACACTCTCTTCCTCCTACATCACTGGCTTCCTATTGTACTTACGATAAAAATGAAAATCCTACAAGATCCTGCATGACCTGACCCCAACTTATTTCTCTAGCTGCATTCCTTACCTTCACCATCTCCCCCCACCCACGCTCAACTTGTTTCCAAGTGCTTGAGAGTATCCACCAATCCTGAAGCCAGCCTGTCTCGAACATCATTCATTTCTCCCACTCAACCCCTTTTACCTGTTTAACATCTTACTTCAGATCTCAGCTCGGTCTTCATAGTTTCCGACACGTTCTCTGCATCCCTGGGATCTCTAGCCTCACCAGCAAGTTCAGCTCCTTCTACTATGAACTCTCAAGGGACCCATACTGCTCTACCATAGCAATTATGATAGATCTCTTTTAGCCATTTGTGTGACCCTGCTTCCCCACATGTAAAGTCCCTGAAGGCAGGGATCATCTCTCTTTTTGTTCATTGCATTATTCACACACAGTGCCTAGCAGAACCTAGCAAGAAAGGAGCTCAAATCTTTGCTTAGTGAACAAAGGATGCAAAACCAGACGGTTCACATTTCACAAATATTTAATCAATTACATTAATGGTTATATTTTCATATGAAAAATACAGTCATGGCAGTGGTGGTGGTGGAAGGGTGTGGCAGCTTACTCAACTGCTGGCTGGCAATGGCAGTGTGGCCATCTCTCTTGGCCTGACCTTTTGAAACACAAGATATTCAATATTCAGTGCTACAATCTACTTTTCTTTTGTCAGTTGAGTCATGTATTATTTTTCATCTTGTTCGGTTCCCTGAGCCTTGAGGTACTTTTTAATAATGACACCCATGTTATCATAGCCAGCATTGGGATTTACCTGGTGGCATTTGCTGAAACTAAAGATATCACTTAGCATGAGGAAATAACCAGTTTCCAGGAGGTATAGCTTCCATACCTTAGCTATTTCAGTCACACACAAAAATATTCCATTTCTCAAGACCAAGTACTGAGACATTAAAACATTCTATACACACAGATAGTCAATAAGCACTGAACTCAACTGTAGTCTTACTAGCACATAAGCTATTACTATTTAAATCTGACTTCCAACAACTTGAGAATTTTTTTCCCCTCTGTTTTATGAATTATTTGTGGACACTATTGTTGTTGTCATCCTACTCGTCATTTTAAAGCAGTGTTTTTTCTGGTCTCTGAAGCCAGATTTGACCAGAGAGCAATGACATTACTAAAACTCTTCTCAAAGCAAAAAGATCAGTAACCAGAAAACTGAATTACTTACTGACACAAACTCTTCAAAACTGATTTTGCCATCTTTGTTGTTGTCAGCCACTGATAGAATTTTCTCCACAATCTCGCGCACCTTGTAGCCAGGCAGAGGAAGGCTTGCTTCCTTAAACAGGTCCTGTAGTTCATAGTCACTAACATACCCACTGTTGTCAATATCTGTAAAGATAAATTATGAATTGTCAAATCTCATTTGCACTCTTTATTCAAGGTGTGCACCCTGAAGGCCTCATGGGAGATTCACAGGCAGGTAGAACCTTTCAGGTTTGTCTCACAAGTGGCAGTAACCTTTTCTCCTGCACCTGAACTGTACAAGGGAGTCTATACACTTTATCAAAATATTCGTAGTAAATGGACTTTATCCCCATAGGTTTAGGACTACCATGTGTATTTTAAGTGCACAGTTTGAACAATGTTCTGACAGATGAAAAACTCAGGTTTAGCAGAACACCCATCCAGACTTTAACCTCACAGAATTTACAAAATGGATCTGTAGGCCCCACATTCTCTATAAAATATGTGCATCATATTAAATACACATAAGGTATCTCTGTTCTACATTTCACTTGGTGCCACTTCTGTTTCATTTGTTAATAATTCATTGCTTCTTCATTATGTATTTATGATACCATTATGTAGGCCGAATCATGTTTGATGGCGTTTTTCCATCAAGTGTTCAAGAAATAATTTCACACCTATATTTGGACTCTTGGAAGGGTTTCCAGGTGTTTTCACGTTATCGCTGAGATGCCCTTCCCTGGGTTTTTCCTAGAGACTAGATAACACTTCTTGACACAGAACAAAGGCAACACAAAACACTTCTGCCCAGAGTTGGCAACATGGCTCTGGACTGTCTGATTAGTTGCCTGGATCCACCTTGTTATATAGGCTTTCTTCGTTCATCTGGTAACAGTTGCTGTGTTTCCTGTATTTTACTTTTTCCTTTCAGTAAAAGAGCTGTCCTCACTATACTCAATTAATTACAAAGACAAAAACTTTTAGACTTACTAGTGTGCAGAACAAGTGGAAAGTTTCTAAAATAGAATCTACCAATAACCAAAATACTGCTATAATCTCAAAAGTCAGCTAATAAGCTAAACTACTGGACATTGCAATAAAAATATTACTTTCTTCGAACTTAGAGCAAAATATCATTATTTAGTACAAGTTCAGAATTGTTTCCTATATTTTGAGATAGACAAATGTTGTTCATAGCAATATTATTTACAGTAGCAAAAAGGTAGAAACAACTCAAGATGTCCTTCAACAGATGAATGGATAAACAAAATGTGGTACAGACATAAAATAGAATGTTATTCACGATGGGGGGTTGGTATTTATTGGGTAGAGAGTTTCAGTTTAGGAAAATGAAAGAGTTCTAAAGATAGAGATAGTGGTATGGTTGCATAACAACATGAATGTACTTAATGCCACTGAACTGGACACTTAAAAATTCTTAAAATAGTAAATTTTATGTCTATTTTACCATAACTTACAAAGGAAAAAAAAAGAAAAAAAGACAAATATTTTCACCTCTCATCTCTCCCTAGAGACCCCAAAATATCCCATCTAGTAAGGTTGGATGGGCATGTCCCTCTGCCTCTGGGAAAGGTTGTTTCGTACAAATTATCAGAGGGAATAGTAGGTTCTTAAGGAACAATTTATCTGGTCAATAAAGCTAGTACATATTATGCTAGTGTTAGCACTGCCTTCATACAGAGTAAATTATCTGGCTGTCAGATTTGTTCCATCAGTGAATTATTTATTCAAAATATCATTAAATAAATATTGCAGGATTATATGTCCATGAGTCATAAAGAGTAAAGTTCATGTACTAAACAAAGAAGAGATTACTAATTCATTCATTTCTACCAAGACCTAGGCAGCACTTTTATTCAAGCTACCAAACTGCACCTATAAAATAACACCAATAGCAGACTAGGGATACATTTTTATTATTTCCTCTGTTTCAACACTCAAAATGAGCAGAATGTCCTAATAACTGCCTAATTTTTGTCTTGAAAAGACTCTGGGCACTGCATATAATACTCTATAAAATTTATTATTAAAAATAATCTTTTAGAGGCCATACCATATTCATGCAATGCTCTAATGACAAATATATTGTCCTCAAAAAAACAAAAAACAAAAACAAAAACAAAAAAACAAGATTAAGGCATTCACTGTGAGCCTAATTCAGCCACCATGCAGACTGTATTCGGAAGGTTTGAGTTACTCTGGGGATGGCTGTGCAGGGAGAAGTGGAAGGGTCCAGAGATTTGTACAACTCACTTCACTTCATAGCAATGATGTGTAAGTTGTGAGCTTCCTGACAGCTTTACTTTTTTCTTTCTGGAGAGGCTTTCTTTTTCAAACTTGAATCTTTCTTTTCTCTTTATATTGGTCTCTAAAATTCTGTACCACATCTCATTTACATGAATTTTAGTCATGATTCACTAGGTTTGTGAGAAATCTAGGCACAAGATCAATTGCGATCATGATATGTCCACCCCAGTCTATTATCTGACCGTTTCTCACAGACTGTCTTTTTTTTTTAACGTTTATTTATTTTTGAGAGTGAGAAAGAGTGCAAGTGGGAATGGGGTAGAGAGAAAGAGGGAGAGACACAGAATCTGAATGTGAGCTGTCAGCACAGAGCCTGGCACGGGGCTCAAACTCACGGACGGAGAGATCATGACCTGAGCTGAAGTCAGATGCTTAACCAACTGAGCCACCCAGGTGCCCCACAGACTGCTCCTCTGTACCAGAGAAGGAGCCTACTATGGGAGGAGCAGGATTGGTGGTGTCACCATCCCAAGATCCTTTCACTGGGCTCGCCTTTCACTTGCATACATTTGCAGACTAGAGCAAAAGATATTTATCTTCTTGTTTGCCACAGGTTTCCTAGGAGCAAAAGTGCAGAAGAATTGTGATCCAAAAGAGTATGAGGGAATTTTTTTTGGAAGAAAAATACAAAGCCATCAAATGATAATGTCATAAAGACAAAACACTGAATGGCTTTAAAAAGTGAAAGAAGAAAAATAAGACACACAGCCTTTAAAAACAATATTCAGATTTTAAAATGTTCTGCGCGAAGTCAGAAAGTGTTACTGTTAGCAACAAACATGAAGGCCAGAGTTCAGTGTATAAACAAGGAAGTGTTTCTATATTTTCTTTCTGTAATGAGGATATCATGTTAAACGTATTCAGTTACACTGTCATTCATTAACCTGGATTACTCTCAGCAAAGAAATTATCAAAGAATTCAAAGTCCAATTCTCTTAGAAATTCAAGCCAGTCTTAATTTATCTTTCAGAAAGAAAGAATCCAGTGAAACCTAGATGGGGGGGTGGGGGG